TTCTGGTATTGTTTATAATCATAGACTACAAACATTAAATGAATAATTTTTATGATAAATAAATCGTATTTTAATAAAACCAATATTAAATTATTTCAATTAGTAGTATCTGTTTAGAGATTTTAAGAGTGTTTAATGCCAACATTCTCTAGTCCCTTCTAAGACTTCAAATAGTAGGCAGCAGTCTATTTCACTTAAACAGTTGCATACTTTTTTCCTCTAGAGTCTATGGCTGCATTAGTTCATATTAAAGAGTAATATAGTATATATCATATGAAAACTTAAGAAATGATGGTATTATCCCACTGAATCCATCATAATCACCTGAGTCCTTATAGTTAAAAAGATTTCTATTCAGGGTTGAAATAAGAGAGAGCCACGTTTATAGGAAAATGGTCAGAGAACGGTGAACATTCAAAATCTCTTCTTGAAGTCCACAAACTGACCATATCCACTTGATTTTTTTCTCCCCAAAGTATTTAAAGCATGAAGACTACAAAGAATCACTCTTAGATAAACTGAGCTGCACAATGGTGGCTTACTTCTGAGGTAAGAAGTAACAGAGACCAGCCAAGATGCCTAGAAGAGGCTCAGAGCAAGCCAAGCTCAAAGCAAGGGACACTTTTAAACCTGTTGACCTGTAGCAGGTAGTAGAGTATGTCCCAAATATACAGGTTTGTGAACTGTCACCCAAGCTGGGGTGGGTTCTTTGAGTATTTTTTTTTTTGTATCTGTAAATAATCCTTTGTCCATATACCTGTAATCAACCCCAATAAAGTTCATTGGTTCACCAAGTTGGACATTAATGGTATCTGTACTCATGGTTTGTTATTAGATTGTTATCTGGGGTAAATTTAAATTTGTTCTTGTCTCCCCAGAAATAGTGTCATACAATAACTGATAATTATACACATGTCCAAATCATGTCAGTCAGAGCAAATAGAAAATATTCTGTACTAAGAAAGAATAAAAAAGCATATTAACCACTTGGAATGCTCCCTCAAACTGGGTTTAATTACTATATAGAGTGCTATTGGGTTAACTTGAATCAATTGTTGCGTGTTTCAACAATTGTTTTTGATAATTGTGCTTGTATTGTTATCACATAAGATAGTCTTTTTTTTTTTTTTAAGAAAATACAAATTACAATTTGTAGAGGGAATCCTCCTATTGCCATGCTACTTTACAATAGTTGCTGGGAAAGTATTGCAGAAATTTCCAGAAACCTTAGAAACCTTGTTAATAGAACTACTTTCAGTTTTCTAAAGGAAAATTTTATTACAGTTATTACACTGTTGGCCCAAGGGAGCTATCTGGATCAATGTAGCATGGTGTTGCCAGGACCTAGGCACAGTCACCTTTTATTATACTGGAGGAGAGGAAAGAAGCAAGAATTTAGGGAATTACCACCAGGGAAAAAGTTCTTTTTATTTTATTTACTTGATCAAGTTGAGAGCAGCCAGGCTATCTCAGTCCAAAGATCTTCATGTCTAATACACAGGAGGATGTTGTGAAATGTACTTGGTACTTGTAACAAATTCTGAGTTAATAATCAATATACCCACTCATTTGATGTGTTTATGATTTCCTTCATGGCAGTGGCCAGGTGAGTGGAGATGCAGTCGGTAATGGAGCTTATAGAGTAGACCTCCCCAATTAGCACATCTTAAATGAGTGCATCCTGGAAAGGCAAAGCCTGGCACGGTGCGGGGGTTACCTCCAGAATGCCCCTTGCTTCTGCTGGCCCTTCTCCTGCTTCCTGCTGTCATGTTCTTACTGTATTTGGCATGACGTAATTGTTGAGTGGAAGAATCCCACTTTATCTAGTATAGTACGATTGTTTCAAGGAAAAATCCTACTCTTCCCTAGGCAATTTACTTGCATATCATAATGAAGATGACTTTTATAGAGTAATGACCCTTAGTTGGATCTATGATTTACAGATTCCGATGGTTAAGACAGTTAGTGAAGATGATCAGAGAAACGGTTTAGTCCAATCTTTCTATTGCTCCTATGTGAGACCCAAAAGACAGAAACAAGATTAGAAGACACTTTGCCTTTTGCTAGATGTGAGACTTGCCGAGGATGGAAAATGAAAACAAGGGAGTGTCACATGTTATACTCACATGAAGTCTGCCTGTGAAAACCGGCCGATGATCAAAGAAGGCAATCTTATCCCTACACTCAAGGTTAGGTCTTAGTTCCTTGGTCATGCAGCTTACAGAATTAATCACAGGTTTCGGTGGGCACTTTGAAAAAAAAAAAAAAAACAAAGTTGTGAAAGGAAATTAAATGACCCTATCATTGTGTAAAGAAAAAATAAAAGCAGATGGCTAGCAAGACCACTTGAGTAAATTCTATAGAATAGAATAAATAGAAGAATTTGCTACACTGCAACTGCAATCTGCTGCCAGCCCGTACGTAGAAAGGAACTGACTGAAATATACTTGGCTCAATAATAAAAGAATTAGTTCTTTGGGGTAAAGATTTTATGGTGGGAAAATTAATACAAAGGAAAATGTTTAACTTCATGGGCACTTCTAAGAAAAACATGTAAATTGTAATCACAATGTGATTTCTTCTTGCATAAATATTTTCATTTGTTTTTAGAAAACATATAACTTGTGGTGGCGAGGTGAATTTTTCTTGCATAGAAGTTTTCTGTGTGTATATTTAGCAGCCAACTCCACATCTCCTCTCCAATTTCTCTGACCTACTGGAGTTGGAGTCTTGCACTTTTATTGTTTTGAAATCGTTAGTTCTTCTTTTGTCTCATTGACAACTTGCTGCTTAGGGACACTCAGATCCTATGCTAAGCCCTTCAGCTGCACAAATGGGACATTAGTATCAAAATTACAAATACATTCTCTTCTTGTCCCTTTACTTTCCCATTTACATTTGACAATATAATCAATGCTGGAGATGTTTAGGAAGGTTCACAACATTCCTGAAACTAGTAGGACCATGAAAAGTTAAGTCATTATGCACTGTACACTCGGTGTTTTCCTTACATTTATGTATCTAAATAAATAAGAATTTTTTTTCTTTCTCCCCTCTCCCTCCTATTTTTTTAAAGATAGTGTCTCACTTTGCAGACCTGTTTGCCTTGAATTTATACTATCTCAGATTGCAGAATTATGGAATTAAAGACATGCATTCTCATGTACACTTGAAGGACAAACCATTTGAATAATCATATTTGGGGTCCATTATACAGATTGACCTTGATTGTTGATTTCATGGTGGGAGACAGGCATTAGTGATTCTCAGTGACCTTGTTTCTTGTTTGCTTTGGAAAAAGATCCAAGTGAGTCAAAGGTTTCTGTGTTTTCAAATTTAGAGAGAAATGACTTATTGAAATAACTAAAAAGCATAATATGTATTTTCATTCAAGGCCTTCAGGAGCTGTTGAAGATAACTGGTTTTCAGACCATTCTATGGAAAGTTTGTTTCAATTCCAGGATATGGTCCATTATAGTAAATGGAATAACAGAAAAGGGAGCAGCAAATGCATCTGTATTATCATTAAGAACACTGACCATGCAAAGTGTAGTGTGTGCATATATGCTACTACTTCAAAAGAATTTTACAACTAAATATTTTTTAAAACAGAAAATTCTATCCCAGAAGAATCTCAAAACACAACCTATCTTGTCATGAACCATAAATAATTTAAAGTGCTTAGAATAAGTTCTGCTGGGACCTAATCATGTAGTTATTTTTTGTAGGTTTCTGTTCTTGCTTTCTTGTTTCAAACATGTTAATTATAATGATGCTAATTATTGTTGATTTTGATGTTTTAAATTCAGTTCCTGTAACTACAAATGATCAAATGTTTGAGAATTGTTGTCCTGGGAATCCACAAACATCAAAGTACTTGAAAATATTGCCCTGAAAGTCAACTCTTAATAATTTAATATATAACCTCAATCTAGTGTCAACTTGCAGAAAGTGAAATTAAATGATACCATTTCACTGGATAACCTGACATTATGTTATTAAATTTAAAATTATCTTTTAAATGGTTTATTTCAGCCTTTTTAAATTGTACTTGAAACTACATAAGTAATTTCTTCTCACAGGTTGGCATAAGTATAGAAATAGAGAATGGTAAACACTAGAAAATATACTATCTAATGGGTAGAGTGTGTCTTTTTAACCCCAGAAGTTCTTTGGTACAACAATCCCACAAATAACACTATAACATAATTGTTAATTTGGGGTATATGTACTCTTGGTAAATTAAGTTATTAGGGAAAAATATATGTATCTAAATTATGACAAATGTTGCACACACTAAATTCTGAAAGTTAGAAATGTGAAAAGCACATTCAGTTTTGTATGTCTGTGTGTGTGTATCAACATGTGAGTACAGTGACCACAGTCCGGAAAAGAAGGTTGAATCACTGAAGCTGGAGTTATATGGGGTTTTAAACCACCTGGTGTTAGTGACGGAATCCAAACTTGGGCCTTTTGCAACAGCAATATGTGGTCTTAACTGCTGAAATTTCTTTCCAGCTCCACATTGTACTTATTTTTATTTACAAAATTAAAAGCAATCCTTTGTCAAGCATAAAATTGTATAAAATGTGAAAAAATCCTCTGATATTGCTCATAAAACAAGTACATCTGAGATAGTTTTTTATTTAATAATTATACATAAATATGAAGGCTTGAATACATCTAGCTGGTACATATGCAGTCATAACTTAAAGTTTTCCTTTCTTATTTATTTATTTGTCATTTTATTTTTTATTTTTTGCTTTGATGAGTTACTTCAGTTATGGAAACCCAAAGAAATGGAAAACAATTGAATTTTAATGCACTCTTACCTAACAAAGAACAGAATTTTAGATAATAATATGAGTATAGGGACAGATATATAAGTTTATTTCAAAGATGGTGAGCATCTTTATTGCCATTAAATTATTCCACCTTTACTTAATACTCTTTAAAAATCTTATAGACAGATGAGGATTAAGTTATTTAAAATATATAGAAACACCAAAAAAAAAACCTACAAAACTTTTGATAACTTATTAGGTTATTTTTATTGGATCATAATGAATAAATAGGCTTTAAACATGAATGAAATGTGACAATCCGATTATAAACAATTCTTAGTCAACAGATAAAGAGGTAGACCAATGTAAGTAGTATTTATGACTCTTTTCTCTCTCAATACAGACTCATTTGTCACCAAATTTTACTTTTCTTTACAACCTGAAAGTTAATATTTCGACTTTTTAATGAAATAGATCATATTCAGCTATTATAAACATGAATATGCCAAAACATACAATCTGTACTCTTTATTGGGGAGGTGGTGATATGGTTTTTAAATTAGTCTTTCTGTCCAAAGCAGGCTAGCTTCATGATCACATTCTTCCTATCATGAATTCTTTAACATTTTTAATCTGTTTTAGAAACTGATGTGTTTCTGTACTATGCATTTTCCCATTTTAAATATGCATAGTTGTCTATTTTATTAATGTAACTCTATATTATTATACTACTCATCTATAGTAATACAAAGAAATGTACAATTTTATTTTCTTTGTGGTACTTTTTCATGAGCCAAAGTTGTCAGGTTTAAAGTACTATCTTTTTGTTTGTTTGTTTGTCTGTTTGTTTGTTTGTAGTATATAGTTTGAACTGGCTTGGATTCTATCTCAAATTATCCCTCTACCTGTAGGCTATGAGATTAATATTCTAACCTAGTTTGTTGAAGCTTTTTACTTAAATTTGCCATTTAGATCTATAATTTACTTAGAAATAACTTCTTATTGCTAGCATGATGTGTGATATAGATGTTGTATTTAAAGCTGAACTTTATAAAGAATAAACTATAAATGTATAATGAACTATAAAATTAGAAATTAATTATTAAAAATTCCTTGGATTTGCTATTTTTGACTCTCTGTAGTGGTTATATTATATCATATTACATCTTAGAATCAGAATTGTAGTCAATACAAAACATTTGAGGTTTTAGTTTTTTAATATTTCAATAGATTCAGTATCTTTGATATGCTTCATTATCTTTGGTACCATTGAATCCTTTCACATCATTCTGAGAATTTTTGAAAAAACATGCCTGTTTCTGTGGCAAGGAAGATATATACATAAAGTATACATAAAGTGATAAGACAACATCACCTTCAGTATAGTGTTTTTACTTGGATAGCTGGAGTACCACCTTTGCTATAAACTGCTGTGGCATGGTCTTTCTGTACACTGTGCATATGTGTTGCCATGATTGGCTATGGCCTATGGCAAGACAGAATAGAGACAGGTGGGAAATTCAAGCAAAGACCAAGGGAGAAGAAGGGCAGAGTGGGTGGGCACTCCAACCCACCACCAGGAGAAGCAAGATGTGAAAAAACAAGTAATGCCACGAAGCCATGTGGAAAACCTTGGATTAATAGGAATGAATTGAGTTAAGTTGTAAGAGCTAGCAAGAATCCTGAGTTTGTAATTTATATAAGCCTCTGTGTGTTTATTTGGGACTGAACAGCTGTGGACCAGGTGGGATAGAAACTTCCACCTACAATAAACCAAAATGTTCATAATTCATTCATCTATATCTGGGCATTTTATTTTATTCTAATAGGTTCATGTCTATGAACATCTTTCTATGTCAGTATCTGACAACATTTTTTAGTAATTTTATTATATTTATTTATCTGTATGTATGTGTGCACATATGTGTCTGCATGTGTCTGCCACGAATGTGTATAGAGATCAGAGAAAGAAATTACAGAAGTTTGTTCTCTTCTTCCACTGTATGGATCATGGTAATTGAACATTGGTTGAGACATGGTACCAAGTGCCTTTACTCACTGAGCAATCTTGCCAGCACTCATTTACAGCAATTTTACAGTATCTTGTTTTTTGACAGAGTAATTCTGCTAGATTTGGTATGCTTCAGCATCTTTGTTACTATTGAATCCTTTGACACTGCTCTAAGAATTTTTGAAAGAACAACTCTACTTGTACAGTAAATAAAATCAGAAACTAATTACTTAATAAAACTCTGGGATTTAGTATTTTTGACTCTGTAGGGATTATATTATAGCACACTACAATCTTTGGAACAGAATTGTAGTCAATGCAAAATGTTTGAAGTTTTATTTCTTAATATTACAGTAGATTCTTTACAGAGATGTTTTGTGACATTGTTGAATTTATTCACAGATATTTTCATTTTTATTATACAGAAACAGAGGCATTGATTTGTGTGTAATCATCTAGAATCTAGTAACATTATTAAAGTTGTTTGTTTGTGCTAATACATATATAATTAATTATGAGATTATGCTAATACATATATAATTATGTTTTTATTACAGCTTTACAATCATTTATCTGAGAACAAGATAGTTCTATATAATTACACTTCTTTGGAAGTGCACATAACTATGATTTACTCTGCTATCCTGACTTGTACAGACTAGCAATATGTATAATCATAGGATACTGGGAAACGATATCCTGTTGACACCTCCTCCTTTCAAGATTTCAAAAGGAAAAAAAATACTGCCTGCTTAGCTTATTTAAAAATTATCTCTTGGTATCTGAATGTTTTAATAATATATTGGTAATGAGAAGATAGCTCTGTTAGCAAAATGTATGCCATATGCACACAAATACCTATTTTTTTTTCCCTCACAAAACCCACATAGTCAGACCAGGTGTTTCAGTACATCTCTTGTCCCAATGCTGGGAGAGACACTGGAGGAGTGCCCTGGGCTTTCAGTTTAGCCATTAAAGCTGAAGAGGTTTCCAAGTTCATCAAGGGTCTCCAAAAATTTGAGGATTGGAGCAATTGGAAAAGTCATGAACATTACTCTCTAGGCTGCAAATACAAACACACATACATGCACACCTGCATATACATGTGCACACAAATACAAATATACACATATAGAGATGGAATTTGAAAATCGCACGTATTTGGTAAGAGTACATGGAATTAGAGTGTTTTAGGATAATTCCATTTACTTTTCATCTTCCTTACTTGACCAATGCAGTGATCTTTGGTAAGCCATTGAATGTATCCTTAGATTAATATAAAAATGTTCATTATATGTTTGCCATTTTGCATATGATTTGAATTAGGGATGATAATAACTTTGGGGAGTTGTACTACCTGTGAAGTAGTACATGTCTACATTATCTTTGGAAATGAGATCATTGGTCTCATACAATTTAAAGTACTATCTACTATGAGTGTGGTTAGTCCCAAGCAACCCTTGGTTTACCATGTCTTTAATGCCTTTCTCCTAAGAGCACTTTGTAAATTACTTCACACTTCTTTACAATATTTAGCTTTAAATTATAATATTTTAATGGGAATATTTGTAAACTTTACTATATATCTATGTCATTCAAAACTTTTCTATAATTGCGTAGTATTTCAGTTGATTTTCCATATACCTGTTCCATGTTCTTTCTCTTTGTCATTCTGCTTATCTATCACTTTTGCAGATGTGTTTATATATTTCTATTTATGTATTTAATATCTTAACACTCTATACTAAAGTATACCAGTGTCATTATCAGTGTTCATTTTGAAATATAGAATTTCACATTGTCTACTCTGTTTTCTTCCATGATACTTTCCCAAAATTCTGACTTAAATAACTTTTCTTAACCAGAAAGAGTTGGGAGAAATGGTGAATATAATCAAAATACATTGTATGAAATTCATAAAGAACTGATAAATTATTAAAAATGAATCCTTGTCCTTCTTTCCAAAACATGCCCTTTAAATCTAGTAGCCGAGGCTAAATATTGCAACTTACCTGATTTTGTTGTCAGAATATTTCATTGATTTCTCTGTGTTCAAATGTTTACTGAATGCAAAGCTTAGGTTTCTCTCAGTCCATGGAAATGTTCATTTTACTAAGCTCTGAAATGCAATGTCTTTTATTCCTGTGGAGAAATCACGTGACACACTTATTTATATCCTGAGGAATGTTTGTTATCTTCTGTGTGACTTTGTGAGTTTGCCAAACCAGCTGTCTTCTTGAAGGTCTTGTGCTATCTTCTTAAGGTCTACCAGTGTCAAATCAGAGTGTGACAGGTGAAGCTTGAGACTTATAAGTGAAAGGATAAATAGTAACTCTTTAGGCCATGTCATGGGAATGTGGATTTCTACTCATCTCTGAGTATGTCTTTGGGTGAATAAATCCACAGAGCCGAAGTATTAATCTTCAAAAGTTAACCAGTTGATTGCAATACAAACAAATTATTTGAATGTGGGACATGTAGACAACAAATGAACAACGCAGAAATAATATTTTTCTAGCACTTGCAGAGACAGAGACAAAAGGGTGGAGGAAAGCAGAAAATGTAAAATGAATGGTCATTATAATGGAGTCATTTAAGTCTTAGTTAGATGTTAAGGGTAAAGACAAGGATTATGCATTATAGACCCATAATCCCTGATTTTACTATTTGGAAAATAAGAATGTTAACTCCAAACTGAATTTTCCAATATATGTGCAAGTGTTAGCACATAACTTTAAATAATGTTACTGTGATTTATTTATTTTTCCAATTTATTTAGTCTCCTTGATTAATTAAGGCACAATCATTTGCTTATGTCCATCATGGACATAACTGATAATATTTCCACCACCATTTTTAGCTTTGTTTGTCCTATTTGTGACTTTATGCTTTGATTCTGATGTGAAACTCGCCTTTCCTACTCACTCTCAGAAGTGTCTACATCATTTGACTTCAGTGCTTGGTCCAAAATCTGCAAATTGGGGGTTGGGGATTTAGCTCACTGGTAGAGCACTTGCCTAGCAAGTACAAGTCCCTGGGTTCTTTCCTCAGCTACGGAAAAAAAAAAAAAATAAAAAAAAAAGAAAGAAAATCTGCAAATTGGGTTGTTTACTTGTTACCTGTATCATGTTACTGGCTAATATTCCCTCCCCCCTCCTCTCTAATCACTTTTAACCATCCTCTTATACAGTTTCCTATCCAAGATAATGTGGAAGATATAATGAAGTGTTTTTTTTATATTTTTGGAGATTATTATATAATTATATCATTTCTCCCTTCAAACCTCCCATATGTGCTTCACTCCTTGTTTTCTTTCATTCACAGCTTCTGTTTTCATTAGCTGCTGTGCCATGCATATATTTATATAACTATATGCATATATGTTCCTAAATATAATCATCTCAATCTGTATAATGTTACCTGTATATATGTTTTCCGGACTGACTATTTGGTATTATATAAGCAGTTGTTGTGCTCTTCCTTGGGAAAGACAATTTCTCCCACTTTCAGAATCCTTTAGTTGCGGGTGTGTCTTTATGTAGTAGCAAGTGTTAGTTATTTAGCAGCGCTCTTACCCTGCGAAGAAATGTTTCGAAACACGACAGAATCCACTAACAAGTGTTTATTAAGGTAAGAGAGACAAACAAGTGCTCAGGCCTTCGGAACAAAGCCGGGAATATGGCGCTGGCTTATAAAGGTTGGGTGGTGCAGGCTTACAAAGGTCCATGTGACTGCTCCACGTATGCGTGTTGATCACATGGTTGTGTTGCTCGCTCTTACACAACCATGCAAAGCCACGGTTTGGCCTGGAAATGGCTATTTTGATCTGGAACTGGCTAGGCGGAAGTGTCTAGGTCTGCTGGATATGCCCAACCATGGGGGCATGTTGTGAATCTATCATCAAGGCCATGTGGTCTTTCCTTTGTTCATCTGACATATGTATTGTTATTGCTCTTGTTCCATTCTTGTTTGGTAGTCAAGTTGGTGAAATATTATGGGTATTGTTTGGTATTGCAAGGAGTCAGTCTTACAGCAAATCCCCAAACTTCTGGCTCTTACAATCTTTCTGCCTCCTCTTCTGCTATTGTGAGACCAAAATGAGCCGTCTTAGAAATAAGACCAAAATGCTTTCACCCAAAAACTAAGACCTAAGATTTCTTCTTCTAGGCATAGGCCAGTAGTTACTGAAACAAGTCAGTCCAGATTCCAGAAACCAGGAAGTGTAAAAGTACAGAGTCACAAGGTAGTCATGAGGTAATGACTGCAGGACCATAGAATGTTCCAACCATGGTTTCCAGGGTAACTGACCATAAAAAATGTCCCCACCTGAGGGCAGCCAATGAGCAATGGTGGCAGGCAACCACCCCCTTAGAAGTAAGATTAAGCCATTATTTCTAGAAAGCCCCTAGAAGTGAGCCAAGAATAGTACCTGTACTAGCACCCTTAAATGATGTAACCTTGTGATTTTTCCCTTTAAAAACTGAGCTTGCAGATAGGTGGGCACTTCCTCCAGCCTCCACTGCGTTGGATGTATAGGACGAAGTCCCTGCCTAGGCTTGTATTGCTTTTGGATATCCAGAATTAAACCTTGCTTTTGCATTCTGGCATGCTTGTCTTTGGTGGTCTCTCTCTGGGGGTCATGATCTGGGCACAACACTATGTTCCCTGAGCTTTAGGTATTAAAGAGTTAACTTGCAGATATATCCAGTTGGACTGGTCTTCACAACTCTGTATTTTAATTGGTGGTTATTTTCTGTAATGGTCTCTATTGATATGAAAAGTTTTCTTAATGAGGTGTGAGGACTATACTTATGTGTGGGTATAGGGATACACATTTGGAGTCTCAATAAGGATCATAATGGTTTAATAAAGTGGTTGTAGAGTATTTCCTATAAATTCATGGCTTCCCTAGCCATTGGTAGTTGGCTAGGTTTCCAGTATTGCACATGATTTTCTTTTTGTTGAGTTGCTTTTAGTGTGTAGATTAAATACATTAGTGACTAATTCTGAGTTACCAATAATGCATCAGTGTCACATTAAGGAAATAAATAAAACCACTCCCATTTGGAATCATTTAACAAAGAACTAATCCAGAGCTGAATTCTCTACTTCATGCTCCATATGTCTTCCCATCCTGTCTGTGAATCTGAAATGGAATTAATTGTTGTGCCCAGATCGTGACCCCCAGAGAGACCACCAAAGACGAGCATGCCAGAATACAAAAGCAAGGTTTAATTCTGGATATCCAAAAGCAATACAAGCCTAGGCAGGGACTTTGTCCTATACATCCAATGCAGTGGAGGGTGGAGGAAGTGCCCACCTATCTGCAAGTTCAGTTTTTAAAGGGAAAAGTCAAAAGGTTACATCATTTAGGGGTTCTAGTATGGATACAATTCTGATTGGCTCACTGCTAGGGACTTCTAGAAATTACTTCTAAGGGAGTGGTTGCCCGGACATTTCTGTGGTCAGTTACCCTGGAAACCAGGGAGAGGACATTCCATAGTCTGGCAGGCATTACCTTGTGACTATCTTGTGACTCTGTACTTTTACACTTCCTGGTTTCTGGAATCTGAACTGACTGGTTTGAATAACTAATGGCCTATTCCTAAAAGGAGAAATCTTAGGCCTTAGTTTCAGGGTGAAAGCATTTTGATCTTATTTCTAAAATGGCTCATTTTGGTCTCACACTGCTATGAAATTCTTGCATGTCCAAATATTCCCAGACCATTTGGCAAACAGTTCAGCTCCTCAGACCTGCTGAACTTGTAGGTAACTAACTCCTTTGCTGAGCCTAAGAGACAAGCTGGCTGGAGACACCTAGCTTTGTTTCTTGTGCTAATGAAGTTCAGACCATCCCCTGGCCTTAAGGCCTAGTGGCTCTCTAGAGCAATTGACTGAGAACAAAAGATGTTTTTACATATCAAGGTAGGAAGGTAGGGTGGAGCAGCATTCCTGAGGAGGCAGAGAACTGTGTGGCAAGGGGAAGAAAGGACAGGCATTTTCTGTAGAGGAGACAGAATGGCATGACCAGGGAGAAGGGAAGAACACAGAGGTTTTGTAGATGGTAAAGCAGAAAGAACTCTTGTAGAGTTCATCAGAGCCAGGAGTAGAGAGCAAGTAGAGATGGAGAGTGAAGAAACAGAGGACAAAGATGAGGATGGAAGCATAAGAGCTTAGTTGTTAGCAGGACTTTGAGAGGGCAGTAAATGAGGGGACAAAGGGGAACTGAGTGTCAGGATGGAGCTGAAGCTATGGAGACAGGATTTCATCCCAGAGAAATAAAGTAGATGGACGAGGAGCTTGGTGTATCTAGATTTATTCCTGCCCTGAATGCCTGATGGAGGTGAGCTGTAAAGATAGAATTTTGACTTAGAGGAATAAAGTTAACAGACATAAGAGTATAGTGTATATAGATTTTTCTCTCAGATGTACTCTGCCAGACATAGCAGTCTTCCCCAGACTCTGGGCAATCCATAAGAAAGCATCATGTGGGGGTAGGGAAAGAGTAGTTTACAGAAGTATTTTACAGATTTTTACAAGTGATTACGTCACTAGCTCCAACTGAACAGATAGCAAACAACACTAGAATCATCACTGTTTATCAACCAATACCCATAAT